TTTGGAAGAGGGGAGGCCTGTCCTATATCTGCAGTTGGGATGATCCTGTGGTTCAGAGGCGTGATTTGCATCCTGACTCTCTTTTGCTGCCTTGGTGATTTGGGGCTGTGCCTCAATTTCCCCATCTGCAAAAGCATCACAATGATAGTAATCCGTCTCATGGTGGTGAAGTGCTTAGAACAGTGACTGGCACCTAATAAGGGCTTTGAATGTTGATGCCAGCTACAAATCTTTCTGTATAAGGGTTGTACAAAGTGACCCAAGCTCGTCACAGTGGGAGGACAGTGACAAGTACACAGTCCCTGCACTTGAATGCCTTGGACTCAAGTTACGATAAGTAATAAACAATGGTGACAACTGTCCTTTTTGACTACCTACTGTTTGCAAGAAACAGAACACCCACATTCCGGCTCTTACTGGTGAGCTGTCTGTTAAAGGGGGCAACCACTCTCATCTCCGCTGAGTCACCTCACAAGAGAACCCTGGGTTGTGGAATATTGTGATTTTCCCAAGAGAACGCAGAAATCTAGAATGTGCTTGAACTGTCCTGATTTTTAAAGCTGGCAAGTTCCTAAAATTTTAAATTCTTTCTTTTTCTTCATCCAGTCCACTTTTGATGGGCAGTAGGGTTGGTTCTATGTTTTTGCTATTGTGAATAGTGTGGCAGTAAACGTGTGTACAGTTGTCTTTGTAGAATGATTTATGTGGTGCATATACACGATGGAGTATTGCATAGCCATAAAGAAGGACAAAATCATGGACTTCGCATAAATTGGATGGGTTTGGCGATCATCATACATCGTGATCTATCACAGAAACAAAGAACTGAATACTGCATGTTCTCACTCATAAGTGGGACCTGAACATTAATCACAAATAGCACAAGGGAAGGATCGGCAGTCGAGGGACACTGTTAGGAGAGAGGGGGACATGTAACAACACAAAGGGTACCTGGTCCTAACGCGGGAAGTGAGGACAAGTTGGAGGCCCAAGCTTCACCTGCACATAGACTACTTATATACTTATTCTTGACTTGTACCCACATCTCTATAGTAAAATAATTTTAAAAAATTAAAATTCCCCAATTTTTAAGGCCACTCTACGTTATGTGGGCAAACAGAACACCTTTACAGGCTGCAGACAAGCCCATAGGCCGCTGGCTTTGACCCCAACAACTCTCTGACCTCCTCTCATTTAATATGCATGACTATCCTGTGAGACAACTTAAATAGCATCGTAACAAAAATGGTTATTGGTTTTAGGAGGGAGTCCCTCGGGGAGGCTCGGTGGCCTTGGACAGAGGTGCACATGGCTGCCTGTCCCGAGTCGAATCGCAGCTGATCAGGGCCAGGGGCCAGGCACTTATGGTCTTGCACATTCCCACATATCAGTCAATCAGCACTGTCCGAACAGACTTCCTGCCACACTCCTCACACCGAGCACAGAGGCCATGACCATGTTTAAAGCTGGATTCCAATTTATTCATTTTAAATGAGAGATGTCATTGGCAGCCAGTGCGGCAGCTTCCAGAGCCTTCTTTTAGAATAAGAAAAGAACAGAGCTAAAGAGAGCCAAAACTGGGATCCCTCAAGTCTGTTGACCTCTGTATCTCACTCTTTTTCCTGTGTTCCCTCTTTAGTTGAGGGACTGAGAGTAATACTTCAGAGAGGAAGTCAAGGGCAAGATTTTAACTCAAGTTCAATTTTCATTTTCTTGAGCATAGACTGGGTTGACGATTTTCAAGGGTGGCAGGCTAACAGAAAAGTGACTGGTACACTCAGCTCTCTGGTATAATTGGCGACATTCTTGCTCATATTTTATTTTCATGGCTGTTGGACTAAGAATGCCATTGAATGGAAAAGTGTTGTTCTGTTTTCTCTGTTTAACTGGTTAAATCTAGGAGTGGATGAGTATGTCCCAAGAAGGACCAATTTAGTCATCATGGTGCCTTGTGGAAAGTGTCTGGCACCCTCTTAGACATGGTGACCAGGCAGACTCCAGTGGTGAGAAAACCAACAGCAACAACACTCTTTATTTAATGGAATTGGAAGATGTGCTTGCTGGATTAATCACTGGACTAGAAGGTGGCGGTGGTGTACTAAGGCACTGAAGTGTGACATGGGTTTGTTCCTACTGCATCAGTGTTTTTGTGTCTTTGGTGAGTCATTCTAATTCCATATGATTCACTTTATGCATCTGTAAAATGGGACAGTATCAGACCCCTGTTTTGCTGCTGTAAGCTCTTGTGTGGTGGCACTCATAAGATGGTTGCCAGGATCAAAGGCCTGGCATTGACAGCAGCAGCTACCAGAGCCAACAGTTATTCCTCAGATGTAGGCTTCCTCTTGGCTGTTGACTCACACTTGGGTATTACCTGTTGCCTGGTTTCAGGTACAAAGCTAAGGTGCTAACAAAGTTGCAGACAATGCCCCCCTCCCCAACCCCCTGCCCCATGTATGGTAGGATCAGGAGCAGAATCTTCTTGGTGCTTGGGGAGGTTGGGTGGGAAGGGCAATTGTGTTTGGGGCGCTTTATGCTCATGGGTCCTTCAGGTGGTTGGAGATGCTTGGTGGCGCTGAAATTTTAGCTGTTCCATCTTTCTGCCCACTGGTGGTGATTTTTTAGGTTTGTTGAATCTGGGATATAGAATCTAGGAGATGAGAGAAGCCAGATGTCATGTGATGCAAACCCGTGGCATCTTCTATTCAGCGATGGGGTTGGTTTGTCTGCTGTGGCACTAGCCTGTTCTCCAGATAGAGGTAACATTTTCTGTCTCAGGCAGAGGCGTGATTCAGAAAAGGAAAGCTCAGCTTCTCTGGACTTGAAAGGTCCTTTTATGGTCACCCCGGGACAAGCAAGCCCTGACTATAGGGTAGGCCATAGGACATGCTGTAGTAGAGTCACGGGGGATGGGAGGGAGTTGCGAAAAGACTGCGATGCCTAAAACTGGTGACCTGGGCTGAAGTCCACCATGGATCCCTTGGGACTGGAAGTAGTTTGACCCTAGGGAGTCTGGGCAGGGAAGGTGACCCAAGGTGGGGTTCTGTGGATGGGGAAGGATCCTGAGCCAGCGTTGCTTGTCCACAAGCAGGTCCCCAAACCCAGAACCGACTGGGGTGTGAGGGATCAGGGTCAGAGACGTGCTTGGGAGCAAAAAGGTAGGCAGTTCTCTGGGGTTGCTTCTTCACCAGATCATACTGGGAGATGACACTGGGGTTGGGGGGAAGCTTGCAAACCCTGGTTAAACTGTGTCCCCAGCACTCAGCAGTGGCCATGGGCAATTGCCTCCTCTCCTTTAACCTCAGTGTTGAGGAGACACACAGCAATTGGTGCCCGCTGCTTTGATTAACCAGGTGTGCTGGGGCAGGCTCTGGGTCTCATCTATGAATTAAAACAAAGTGGCCTTAATAGAGGTTTTTCCTCTAATGTGGGGGAAGTAAGGTAATGGATATCACTTTCTCAGTTTTTGAATTTTTATTGCTGTAAAAGCAAGCCTTAGAAAGGGCTTGCTGCATTTAACTCTGAAGCATGTATTTGTTGAGGGCAAGAACTCCTGGAGGCGCAATTTCCTGTTGCAAATGCATAACGTTGTCAAACCTTCCCCAAGTGAGATTGTTTTGCTACACCATGGAGTGAAATGGCTCTGATCTCAAGTTAACTGCAAAGAGCTGTAGGACGCCCGTGGCTCTGCCATCTGAATGAGCTGAGAGGCATGGAACTGGGCCGGGCAAATGGGCAAGCCATGCAGGGCTCTAATAATAATAATAATAGTAATAATAGCAATGATAATTAAACTTATGTAGTGCTTGGTGTGCACACGGAGTTTATTCTAAACAATTTACAGCTTTTTAAAACTTTTAATTATTTTTTATTTTTTTGGAATTGGAGTCTCACTCTGTCACCCAGGGTGGGGTGTGGTGTGGCACAATCACGGCTCCCATAGCCTTGAACTCCTGGGCTCAATTGGTCCTCCCATCTCAGCTTCCCTAGTAGCTTGGGACAGTAGGTGCACAACTTTGTGCTGGCTAATTAATTTTTTTTTGTAGAGACGGGGTTTTGCTATGTTGCCCAGATAGGTGTTGAATTCCTGGCCTCAGGAGGTCCTCCTCTCTCAGCCTTTTAAAATGGCTAAGATTACAGGCATGAGCCACCATGCCCGGCCATTTTACAAATTTTAATTCACTTAATCTTTATAACGACTCTTTGAGCTAATACCTGTATTATCACCTTCAGTTTACAATGGAGAAATTGAGGCATAAACAGCTTAAGTTGCTTACCGAGGGAGCCTACGTTCAAGTGGAGGCACTACCAGTAAGCACCTGGTGGAGACTGTATGGTCTAGGGAGGAGGAGAGTGCCCAGGAGTGTCTGCTCCACCTGCTGCGTGGCCGTGCAACCAAGGGCAGAACCCTCGCCTTCCACAGTGAGTTTGGGTGAGGTCTAGAGGCCGTTCTGTCGTTTTTCCTCTTCCTGGCGGCAGCTTCATCTCCAGCCCTCAAAGCTCTCAGCTCAGTACAGCACTCTGCAGGGTGTTCTGAAGAGCTAAGTCGTTTAAAGACAGCCCCAGCGGTGGCCATGCCTCAGGCATGCTTGATCACTAATGGGGGAATGTCGTTGCAAATGTCTCTACTGCTGTGAGGTTTGGGCCCCTGGTGTGGGCCAGCCCTTTGGAATCTGCTCTGGGCAGGTTCCGGAACTGCTCCTTGGCTCCCTGATTCCTTCCACAAGACAGAAAGGCTTTGTCTCACGTCTCTGAGTTCTTGGGTGGTGAGTGGTGTGTGAGTGACACAGGACATGGAGGAGCCCCAGATAGAGGCAAGCTGCCTTGGGGGTCCCAAGCACTCTGATCGGGGGGTAGGGATAAGTATGATTTTTGTTGGATACCACCCATGTTCTGAGCCCT